CTGCAGCCCGGATGTGGCATCATGATGCATTTGTCTGCATTCAAGAGCAACAGTCATCCACCGGTTGACGGTGAAGCTCAAAAATATACTCGCAAAATGTTTGTTATTTAAAACAGAGCTGCTAGCTTTAGCCACGTGGTTCCGATTTTAAGTTGTGAGGTACATGTTCAACGATGCATCGCGTTATACAGCGGTAGAAGACATGCCAGGGTTGGAGGACGAGCCGGAGCGGAGGTGATGCCGTTTTCATTGCTAATGAAGCGGCACAAGACCAACACATGCAACGCGCTAGAGGCGCTGTGCTGTGCATGATCAAAAAACCGAAGCAAAGCGGCACAGGGATAATGTACTGGACCGGCAAGCCAGTAAAGCCATTGTTTATATAGTGCTGCGCAAATACGAAATTGTCAGAGAAAGCATGGAAAGCGGGTGGCGGAGCAGCGATGGGATTGGGGACATCTCCAGGGTGTACATCATCGCCACATCCAATGCAGGTGGCACAAAGAGGTCGTGGGCAGATGAGACACGCGCATTGCAGCTCACATGCAGCCTTGCGGCGGCTTGGAGGTATCTGCAGTAATTTCATACAAAGGCCATTGTCGATTCTTAGATATAGCAATTTTTCTCGCCCAGCTGGGAACACATTCCAAGGATTTTGGTACGTTTAGTGCCAAACTGGCGTTGAGCATATCGATATGGTGTGCTCCCAGACACCAATCAGATGCTCATGCACAAAGTCAATCATTCCAGCAAGCAATCAGCCAATGCTGTCATCTAGCCATTGAGACAGCGCTGCGTAACCTCATTTCGCTGGCTGCAACGGGCCATTATCAGTGCCGGGTCCCTGAACCCAAAGAAACACAGGTTGAGCTGAAGTTCTCGCGATTGAAAGGCGACTTTTACATTGTGTCAGTGACGTTTCAGTCATGTTCTTATCTGTGTGTCGAAAAGAACACGCCGGGAGAGTGGCGAGCCAATAAATTCTGACCCACCCCGCCAGTCGCCCATCACTGCCGCCTTCTCTTTTCCCTTTCAGTTTGCTCAAAGCTTCTATGTCTGCGCAGTCCAGATTCCAGAACCTCGGACTGCAAGCTTCTGCGATGCGCGCCGGCCAGTGGCCGGAGGTCAGAGCGCGGCCCTTTGAGCTGCCGTTACGGAACTGCTTGTTTACTAGCATTTGCCTCGTCAAGAACACGTTTTAAACCGCTGATTGTGCGAAACGCGTGCACAGGGCCTTTTCAGGAGCCTTGAGGAGAGGGTGCGCCACGAGGAAGGGAGGAAGACCAGCAGGCGGCACATTGATGGTCAAGCTGCGGCTGATGTTCAGACATTGGTTTCCATGCGTGGCGCCTCGTATGGCACCCTCCGTCCCACCCCTCCTTGATGCGAAAACTCGCCCGTAAAATTTTCAGCATATCTAGTTGCAGCTGCGCCGCAGCGGAGGGGTCTGGAATGTCTCCCCACTGAGCACTTGCTTTTGCCGTCCATTGTATACAATTAATACATATTATAATTAGGGGAAAATGACAAAGGGGGGGTCCTCTGTGAGATATCTTGACAAAAGGGTGTTTTTTGCGGAGGTGCATTTGACAAAAAGGGGTCCTCTGACCGCCCCCTGTACGTTAGGTACATTGCCAGACCGGCGCCAGACCGACGCCAAACCAACGCTATACCGGCACTAGTATCGCGGTAGACTGAACCACGGCCTACTAGGGACGACCCCTCTTGGAGGGCGCAAGGAGCACACAACGGTCGGAGCTATGGGAGGGAGCCGTAGCGATCGGAGCTGCGGGGAAGACCAGGCGGCGTTCGGGGTTGCGGGGAGAGCAAGCGGCGACACAGAGGGGTGGTCCCTAGCAGGATCGTGGTCCAGTCTGGCGCCATACTGGCGGCGGCATGGCGTCGGTTTGGCAACGCGCCTAATGTATAGGGGGCGGTCAGAGGACCCCCTTTTGTCTAATGCACCCCTCCGGAGGACATCCTTTTGTCAAAATATCTCACAGAGGACCCCCTTTTGTCATTTTCCCCACAATTAATTTAATACAATTAGTTATAATTTATATATAATTAAAATGCAACTAATTTACATATCACGGGGAGACGTTGCAGCGATGTTGTTGAACAATTGTCAGATAAGGAGCCAATATTCGAAAATACAGAATGGCGCTACTCATGAACAGAGCCAAGAATACGGCATTGGGAAAGTGAGTCAGGTGTGCTTGGATACTCAATGTTTAAGCTCATGCTCAGCTCACACACCCCTCCTATCATCAATGGGGTATGAAATGTTGATGTCCATGCCACAACAACATGCCTGCTTGGACGACCATAGTTAGGAATCTCGATATTGTAAATAACCTCGATATTGTCACACCAATGTGTCCCCAGGAACTCGGAGGTGGTGAGCAGGTCAACGGACAAATATGCTTATTGCACAACGAGCCAACAGCTCTGGTCGATTGTACCAATGCTTCGTTTTGCGTTGCTCAGCGCACCTTTTGTCTATACAACCCTGAGTTGAAGGTCGTAAAGTGCAAGCTCTTGTGGCGTGCTATATTGGATCAGTGGTCAAGGGTTGAGGTGTGGCGTATTGAGCTGGCAATGTATATAATATCCACAATTTTAAATGTTGTTTTCAATTACTGGATTTGTTTGATCTCGTCTGTTGTTTTAAACCGTCTTTGGTGGGAACATTTATTTGGCACTTTTGGGATACTTGCACTGAGAGCGGTTTGGGGCGTGGCGGAACCCAGCCGGAATGCATGATTGTCGAGGTGTGCTCAACATCGGAGTATTGATCATTGCTTCTTCCAAGCTTAAGTTCTTCTTTGCGTAACTAAATTCCACACATTCTTGGGGTGAGAAAACCCACCGGCAATTTTTTCATGTACTTTGTAGCGATTGCCAACCCAACGAGCTAGTGTGAAGATGGCAGGAAGGATGCGAGGCGGAGGCATGGGAGGTGGAGCAACGGCGCTCGCCAGTGAGGCAACACGGGACGCTCGCTAAGGGCATCCTGGCCAAGACGGGTGCCGCGACATTGACGGGCAGATGCAGCGCGTGGCAGGGCGCCTAGGCGCCCTGATAGGGAGCCCGAGTTGCGGTGGCGCCACCAAGGGCTAGATGGGATAACCTTGGTGGCGCCGGGCCCTCCCCATTAGGGGGAGGGGTCAGACACGGAGGCGGGGTGCCTGGCCAGCTGAGGTAGATGGGGGTTGTTGAGGGGGCGTTCTCTGCCGTTTTGCAAATCCCCACTAACACCACATTGAATCCCCTCACGTGAAGGATTGGCAACTGGACACGCATCTACAATACTGTGGTTGAGTGTCCATTTGCCAATGCTTTACATGAAGAGTAAAACACACATCTTCTGACGATAGATCGACATTCACAGTACATTAGCGCAGCAGCAATTTTGTTTTTACACTGTACACCATTCGTTGTTTAAGAAAAGTGCAACTATCATTGGTGTCAAGCTCAACAACTATCACTAAAATTGAACAATTCAATCACCCCAAACCAAAGCTTATTTTGAATTGCAATTGTGATATCAAGTTTGTTTATCAAGCAGTCCTCTGGCAAGCCTGCCTTGTTCCATGATATGATGCCGTTGTTGAACACTAGCAAGTTGAAGCTGCATTGTTGCATTATAATATAGCATGGATGCTCATTCCGCCTAGATTATAAATCAAGTTCATTAGTATAGTTAATTAACTATCCATCTTTATTTGGGAGACCACATTCTCATCACACTATTGTCTTCTCTCAAGTGGTTCAGATTAGAACATGTGCTGTGAACCTGCACCATGCTATGAGGGATCAATCCCAGTTGGGCTATCCCCCCCAGCTTGGCTGGCCTGCACTCGCCCTTGAGGAGGGATATTCATGCTAAACGACTTTCATCAGCGGACATATACTGTATGTTATGTTTTCGCTCAGTAGCACACAGTTATCGACAAAGATTGGATAATTTCAATATGTTGCATTGTCCTTGTTTACAACAAATTGCTCGTAGTTGAATTACTGCGAGCAATTGGCTGAGCAGGGTACTGTAGGGCAAATTCACTGCAAAAGTTGTAAAAAGATATCGTTGTGAAATTCTCATCTTTTGTTCTTTTCCTAGGGTGGTGTGGGGTAGGGGTCGGAGTGAGGACGAGTTGGGCTCCTGAAGGCAAAATTGCATCCTGGATATCATTGAATGAGGGCACACTAGATGCCATCACCAGATTTGATGGGGACAGTGCACATATTGGTTTTCATCGACTCAAAAAAGAAATTTGGTTGGACTTTTCCTCGATTGCCCTTTAAGGATTCCATGCCCTCTTCTTCTGATAGGAAGTAGTTGGGATACGTATGCTCACATCTGCTACCATATCCTTCACAATGCAGCAACAGGGTTTGCAGTATGCATGTTGTTGCTCGCAGGATTACACAGATACTGAGTGCAAAACGCATCCACCTCTGTACCTGCCCCAAACCCTGAAAACCACACCCCCATTTGTGGTGCGCATTGACAACCAGAAGCTTTCAAGCTTCGGAGATAGGCTGCACAATGCCACTGCCCAGTTCGCTAGTGGCTCTAGATGCCGGCAAGCTGAAAGCTTAGGACAGAACCTCAGCAAGATGCAGTGGATCGACAAGCTGACGCAACAGAGTGAGCGTCCAAGTCCAGGCAGCTTTTGGACTATTGGGACCCCCTGAGTTTTTCTGCCATGCAAAACAAATACCCAACAATTCCAATCCAATAGAATCGACCCATGAACCTCGCAATATCACGCAAGCTCGTCAGCAACGTCAAGAATAGAGAACACTGTTGCCAAGAAATCATTGAAACAACCAATCATCGAAACTTCCTGCAAACAATCACAAACCAGAATCTCCACAGCCTGAAGGCCCCTCCCATTCTGAAGCAGGATCTTTCTGAGAGAGAGGGGGGGGGGGAGGGGGGCTCAAGAGCGTTCGCCACCAAGCCAGAGACCCATCGGGCACGGAAACGTTCACTACCTCCTGACAAGGGCGAAGGCGGCCAGCCCCAGCGCGCCGGCGACCATCATTAAGATCTGCCTGTTCTGCCACCGGTGGCGCGCCTCGATCTTGGCATAGGACCCCTCGCCCAGCCTCAGCAGCTCCTCCGCGGGCATGCCGAACACGAACGGCAGCGCTCTGTGCAGGCCGTTCAGCAGCGTCACCCTAAGCATGTGCTGAGGCGTCAGCCACGCCCTGCGCGACATCGCTGCCGCCGCGTCGGTGTCCGGCTTCCTCATCGCGGTGAACGCCGGCAGCGCCTTGGCCAGCTGCCCGCCGTGCTCGGCGATCAGGCCCGCCAGGATCCTGCAGCTCTCCAGGGCCGAGTTGCAGCCCTGGCCCGCGTTGGGCCACACGGAGTGGGCGGCGTCCCCCACCAGCACGACCGCATCCCCGGCATGGAACGCGCTGCAGTCCGTCTCCACGCCGTTGTGGCTGACCTCTTCCTCCACGAGGCCACGCGCCAGGCCGTCCGGCATCTCCCTCCCCTCGAACACGTCGGGAAACTTCTCCCGTATGATCGCCTCCACGCCCGCCTCCGTCTTGAACTGATCCAGGTCGCCGCACCAGTCGTCGTACCAAGTCCCCATCGCCAGCCGGTAGCGGCCCTCCGGTGTGGGCGAGCCCATGATGGCGATCCTGGGCGAGTGGCGCAGCCATAGGTGCCAGCAGCGCTCCCAGCCCTCCTCCGACCCTGGCAGGTCGGCCACCTCCATCACCTTCAACCCGCCGGTGTTCCTCTTCTGCCTGACCGTCACGAAACCCACCCGCTCCATCTCTCCCCGCACGCCGCTCCAAACCCCGTCCGCGCCCACCAGCAGCTCGTACGGCCTCTTAACCACTCCCTGCCCCCCCGTCTGCTCAAAACTGGCCTCCTTGGCCTCGAAATCCAACCCCACCAACTTGTGCTGGAAATTGTACTCGATCAGCCCTGGGAACATCTCCGCTCCCTGCCGCTGCAGCGCGTCACCAAGCCTGTCCCTGTTCACCGTGGTCAGCCTGCCGTCGTCCCTCGCATTCGCTCGCTCGCTCTGCCCTACCCCGCCGCGGTGCATCACGAAACCCTCCAGCGGCACCGCGTCCCCGGGGCCCAGCCCGGCCCCCGCCGCGGCGATCGCGTCGAGGCCCTTGGGCCCCAGAATGATGTCGTACGCTTGCCGCAGGATCCCGCCCCTGGCCGCGCCACACTTGCTCAGGACGGGGTGCCCTTTGCACGACCCGTTTCTTTCTCTCTTTGTGACAAACTTCCCCAGCTGCCCCCCTTGTTTTCTTGCCCCTTGTGTTGCTTGCGCTGTGCGCTAATCCTTTCGCATCGGAGGCTCCGTATCATCGTTTCACAGCATGGAAGAGAGTCTTGCATATAATTGCATGGGAGGGGCCCCTTTGCATGTCCTGTTTCTTTCCCTCTCTGTAACATATCTCACCCACCTGGCCAAGCGGCCCTGGTAGTTGGGCCGCCGCTCGTACACGGCCACCTGCCACCCCATCCGAGCAAGGTAGATCGCCATGAGCGACCCCGCGGGCCCACAGCCGACAACCACGGCCTGGCGCCTTTCGGCATTTGATGAAGTCCCGTCGCCGGCCATGGAGGGGGCCGATTCGATGCGCTCTTCCGCCACGGGATCTGGAGAGGGCGCTTGGGCCCTTGGCGAGTTTTGCGGTTTCCTGCGAAGGGCCCCAGCGGAAGGAATGCGGCCTCGTTCGAAGAAGCGCCGACTGGCGGTGTTGGCGCCGCACTGGGCGCGTGTTGTGCGCTTGCGAATGTTCTTCCGTTAGCGCCCAGCGTGCAATGGGTGGTCTCAACATCGTCTGTCCGTCAATGTCGCCGCCAGCTGTGTGAAATGACGCCACTTGTTTCAGGAAGGTGTACCGATGACGCACACCCACACAAGTTCGAAGACCGTTGGGAAAATGACAGCAATCCGCGTCCCCACGGAACGTTGGATTTCAGGGAACATTCGGATTAGCAGGAGCGTCACACGTTATCATGAGCCGGCGACTTTGAAAGGCTCGGAACCTTGGACGATCAGTGGGGATCAGGGCGGATGAAGGTACACGGGATTGATCATTATTGTGACATCTTGGGACGAGAAATAACCTTGCTCCGGTCCCATGCCTCACGCGCACTCAAGCCTGTCGGTTGCCCTTACCGCTAGTTTCTAAACCCCTCCGCATCGGAAATTTAACTGTTACGCTTCTTGCTCCGCATTTGTTTTCAGAGCGTTACTTTTTTTACACTGCTCCGCAAAAAATTTACTAAAGGAGGTTACGCATTTTACTGTTTTCTCCGCAAAAAGGGCCAAGCGTTGCGTCAATATGCGGAAGGGCTTAAAACCCAGCGGTGTATATGCAATGCGAAGCATATACAACCCCTTTTCGCCTCGGACTGTTATTTTGTTTTCTTTTTTGCTCCATATTGTGCCGTGCGGGCTCCATGGGAGCTCCAGAGGCTGTATCCCAAGTATCAGGTGAAGCCTCCTACATGCGTGCGCCGTACAACGCCAGCCGCCCGGCGCTGGGGACGGTGCCCAAGAATCCCAGCGACGCGCTGGCCCGAGACCGGCAGTTGGACAACGCACCCGCGCCCGCCCACCGCTCCCCCTCCCCGGCCGCGCCAATCCGTTTCGGCGCCTTCGGCCTCAGCGCCCCTCCTCCCCACCGCTCGGATGGCAGGCCTGCCTGCCTACCAATCGATCGCCCAGGGGCCTGCCGGGTGGTGGGAAGGGCCGAGGGGATGCCGCAAAGCGGAGCGGGCCTTCGGTGTCCATCGGCGGCCGGCCGGCGACGCGATCGGCTGCAAATCCGTTCCGCGATGGCGCCGGCACATGTCTGCGATCGCTTCCCGCTGCTCGAGGCCCGAGCCGTCCGGTTGGCAAGCGGCGGGCCTGCCTCATGCCAGGTGCCTGCCTGCCTCTTGATCGATCGCCCAGGAGTTTGGCAGATGCCGGTGCCACCTCGTCTGAAGCCGCGCCAGCAGCGTTACTAGATTCGGCTGCTCCGCATTTCCCTCCGGCACGGTTATTTTTCTATTCATCGACTCCGGCAAAAAGGGCCCAGCGTTACGTTACTATGCGGAAGGTTTGAATGTATTACAGTACATACCAGAAAAAGGGCTTGGCCGCTGGTTGTGTCCGGCGATCCAGTGTCCTGACTGGCGGGGTCCGGGTAGGTGGGCCTCGACGACTGCTGGAGGCATGCGCATCGCCGCGCAGCCGCGCAGTGCCGCGCGGCCGCGCAGTGCCGCGCGGCCGCTTCCTCTGCGGAGCGCCGCGGGCGGACCGCGGCTGATCGCATCCCCCCCGGTGAGCTGTCCGGATATCTGCGCCAGACTGTCGCAAATTGCCATCGACGACCGCGCTGCCTGCGCCATCAATGCGTGCGCTTCCCTTGACATCAAAGTGTGGTTCCCTTCGTGTGCTTCGGCCGAAGGGTAGGCGTGGGGACGGAAATTCCAGTCGTTGAGTGACGAAAGGGGGCTGGGAAGAAAGGCGCGTGTCAGATTGTGAGGTGGAGGTGCTGAGCTGGCATCCTGAGCGGCAGTAGCCTCGTGCGTCCCCAGGAATCAAGACCCGTTTGCCAATTTGGGAATCGAAATCGTCGCTGGTCCCAGTGATACAGGGGCGACCCGGGCATGTTGCTGGTTTGGTGATGCCCTGAACTGCTGAATTGCCAAATGGATTGCACCTGGCGTAACGGATATTGAGCAATTTCGGGTGTCCAGTTCCAAGGAACTGCCTCTTAAAGTTGAGTTGGTTGAGGCATGAGGGTCGCACTGTTGGTCATCTTGGCCCAGATCATCTCTCGTGCATCTATACCCTAACTTTGATATCATGTATGTACACCTCCTGCGATCTCCAGGATAGTCTTGCTGCTCAGAGAGCATGGGAAGGAGGTACCACAGTAAATGCTGTTACCACACAGTTTACTTTTGATCTCCACAGATTGCTGGCAATGCCCTTCACCAATGATGTATTTTGATTCAGTTAATCGATGTGTGGCTTTAGAGTACATGAAGTACTGAAGAGCATATGATCTACTGACATATGAAATACTGCTGGACCAATAGAACGCCACACCATGCCATTCTGGTTGAACGAATTTCAGGTGACAACTTGTCGAATGAGTCTTGTTTCTACCAGTAGGTCTCCGCATCTAGATCTATACTTTCATGGCTTTCCTAGTTGACAAGAAATAGAATAAGGGAAGCGATGCCAACATCAAAATGCACTTATTGTCGTTGGACAAAGAGAGACCTGAAGATCAGATTTTTGGCCACAGTTGCACTGTGATCAGGAGCATCTATGGTGCTGGTCCACAGTCTAGGAAGCAAAGGGTAAAGATTGGGTATGATAAGTCTGTAAATTATCTCCATGGTACTGGTGTTGTTCTGTCCATTGTTACCTGTGCTCATTCTCTACACTATCTAAACATTGTCTTATGAAGAACAACAACGCCATCTTCTTGCCAGGTCCTAAATCTTTTAGCAGCTCAGTTATGCCAAGTTGGCATTGTTCCGATCGCATTTGTTGCTGATCGTAAAGCAGTGTCCTTGAATAATGTTTGGCAATTGAGTGCGCACATAACCAATTGGGTGCTGGACATGAGGGACTTGCGGAAGTTAGCCAGTGGCCATCATTTTGCACGCATGGATCCATCTATCATGACCAAGTCGTTCAGAGGACAACAGCTGATCAAGGGTTGCCTCCAGGAAACGAGGGGATTTGCAGACTTTGCAGAACAAGCTGCGTGCGTGTAGACCTGTGCTTGTCACTCCTTCAAGGAGTAGAAGCAGTGTCATCTACTGTGATTTCATGGTCATGGTGCATTTGCAGGTCATTTTTCTCATTAGTTTATTTTCATCTTTGTCGTGGCCTTCGTGGTGGGATCAAGAGAATGGGCTACTTGTCACAGGGCTCCAGATGCAGGGCCGCCTCGCAGAGTAATACCAGCAGCAACACCACACTCAGCTGCTTTCCATTGATGCTGAAGCACAGGGCACCGTCAAGGGGACTTGCGAAAAATGGGTGAGGACTTACCAGCAAAGTGTTGTTTTGTGAGGAAATAGTAGCAGCGGTGGCACCTCCTTGGGATGTTAGAAATCACTCTCAGTGAACAATTGTCATCCCAACTTGTGGTCCAGACTCTCCACCGCAAGGTTCTTGACAGGATGGGGGCATCAGTTTCCAGATTTGAAGCCGACCACTCCAGCATTCTGTGCTGCATTTATTTGTGTTGTACTCCCTTCCATTGCACATGTATTGTGCTGTACTGCACATTGTATTGTACTGCACGCTGTGCTGCTCCTGCACTATGCTGCACTACATTGTGCTGCACTCATCGCCTTGATGCAGGCCCAGTCTACAGACCTGCAATGCCGAACTCAGTGAAGGAGCCAAATCCGATGCACCCTCTGGCTGGTGGTCAAATGTGCCATCAAAAGCATTGCTTGTTTTCTGGTTGGCGATCACAGGTATGGCATTTCCTCATGTTGACGGCACTTTTCCAATATGTGTCAAATCACTTTCGATCTGCAGGTACTGCTGCTTAATTGCCAATTGGGTGTGAATGAATGATGAACTATCAATATCCCTCTGATGCCTGGGCTGAAAGCCGATCATTTCCCACAGTTATTGGCGCTGAGGGTCCAATGATAAATCTGCTGTGCTAAAAGGTTGATTTAGTGTTAGTATTGTTCTTAGAGTAACAACTGGGGCCTCTGAATTGTGTACCTGACAGAGACTCTGACTTCGCATTTGGGTGTACTTGACGAACATTGTGTTCCTCATAAAAACCGAGTATCCAAGAGGAACAGCACTGCAAGAGTGGATTGTGATCGAGGCAAATTGTTTGAGAAACCATTTTCTCCAGAACAGGCATTTGGTTTGCCAAAAGGAGCGGAATGTATGGCATGCATTCTTTACTATTGCTGCAGTCTTTATTGTTGCCCTGGTGATAATGTCACGAATGAAAAATCCTTGGCTTGGCAGCCTCCAATTGTGCCACAGTGCCCATGAATGAAAATGGATGAAAACATAGCCACCCAATATGATGGCAATTTAACAGCTTAGTGTTGAGGCAAGTGAAGTACTTACTTCGAACAAAAAAGCAGCACAGTTTGAACGCGATTCGAAATCGTGTCGAAGGCATGCTGAGGCCAAATTTGTTCGCCTTGCCCTGCAGGGTACGCGTTCTTTCTTTCCCCGAATCAGGCAGCGTCGACGGACATGAGCGACGCTAGGAGGCTCCTTGGGTACCTGAAAGACGGCGTCAAACCAAACCCCATCTTCGCCGTCATATTCAATTTAGTCCCCATGTATTTCCCAATCTACGCAGCGCTTCTGATACCATCCGGCCGCAGCAAGAACAAGGTATCCTTGACAGCTTTCATACTGCCATCAGACTTGGCTTAAGTATGGAGGCTTGAATCTTTTGATTTTACTCATGAAAAGGGTCATGAATAAAATGTGAAGTTGACAGTGATGCAGCATCAGGGTTGATATTCTCATGTGTATATTTGCAGCGGGGAGGTGACTGGGTGGGTGGGGTTTGAAAGCAATCACCGCCATTGTTCAAGGGAGGCCATGCAATGTCCACTGGTGAAGGTGGTCACTCGTGAACTCTTGTGAACATTGATGGGCATGGACTCAGTGATGCTTGTTTTCATGTGGTGCCCACAGAGCAACGGTCGATTAATACGATGGGAATAGGCCCACTCAAATTCGCCGCATGCATACTTGGATTGGACCAGAAAATTGCTGTGCTGCATGAGAGAAGTTGACACTGCCTAATTGCAACACTTAAAGTTCCCAAGGCTCTTCTCTTCGTCCTGCTGGTTTGCCCATCAAGCATCGCCTATCTGGGCGGGTTGGTTGACTTGGAAGCCCATCGCAAGTGGGCAGACTGCTGAAAAAGTTCCAAGTATCATTGTGGCGCAGCTCCCAAATGTGTTTGCAGTGCAAGATCAGATGCGTCTCTCAAGTGCGTTGTGGGAGTCTCCCTAAGGCAAACCATGTGCTTCTACAATGTCTAATTGCTGGCTTCCAACACGCTACCAACGTGTCGATGAGACGTCGCTTTCAGCGATCTTTGCCTAACGATGGCATAGAACTGGTTGCAGGTGCCCCCGGCCCCCCCACCCCCCAAGAGTACCCCAAAAATGGAAACAAGACGGTAGCAAATGGCGTCAGGAATGACATTCCATAATGAACTCCTGACTCTATACCACAGGGCTTTCGCGAGAATTGGACGCTCGATTCGCCCATGCTTCTGTGTCTGTCACGTGCAAGGTGCAAGGGCTCCATTTTCACGGCTTGTTGCGCCTGCACTCCATGGAGTTGCGAGCACATGGCACCACTTGCGTTGACAATATGATGCAGTGACGGAGTATTCAGTACTTGAATAAGTTATTCGCAAAAGGGTATTTGCTTTTGTAATGTCAACCATGTGGCGAAGTTGATAAACGACAAAATGGCCAATACGCAGTACCAATAAGAAGAAAAGGGGGAAGGAACTGACGACGCGTTGCATTTGATGCAGATTCCCGTGTGGCCATTTGCGCTCGCATCGATGTTCCTGGGCTCGTACGCTCTGCTGCCGTACTTTGCGTTGCGGCAGCCGGACCCCGAAATCGTCGGCCCTCCCAAGAAGACCGACATCGTGAGGGCCACCACCATGTCCACCTAGCCTGTGCATGTTTCTGCCGTCTGTGTCCATGGATTGCTTGACATTTGCCGTGTTCGTTTGGGGTGGTGCTGCCCACAACTCCGCTGGATGTATGCTGCTGTTTTGCGAACGTGCACATTTTTTTGCCAAATGCACTCTAGCTTGGTAAAGAGCAGCCCAAGCACCTGCGAGATGGTGTTGGGCATGAATCTGCATGCAGATTATCCAAATGAACATAGCCATGGGCTCGGGGTCTACATTGAACATGTTTCGAGACATGGTTCAGGGGTATAAGATTTGGATGGGCTGCGATTTCAGGTGATGTGCGAAGGTCGCACCATTAATTACAGCTCGACAGTGGCTTGCCATGTCGCCACAATACCACAGAGACTACGATGTGATGAACATCCACATTACTATAGGTTGCATGTTCTCCCTCTTGAGTCGAACTGGAGTGGATGGCCAAATACTGCCTTGGACGAGAGCTGCGATTCAGCCGGCTCATTTCATCCTGCCTTTCCCTCGTGAAATGTGTGCAAAGTCAGTTGTGGTCTTACCAGGCCGTAGCGGTGTTGCTCCAGGCAGGTATTGGTAGCTCAAAGCCTTCCTGTCTTTTCGTCATTCCGTAACGTCGAGCCGAGTCTAACACCCCTTGCTGGCTATCACCTTGCCGTACAGAGCACAGTTCTTTTGTCTTGCACGCAGGTGCAATGCGAAAGCTTTTGCATTGCACCTGCATGCAAGACCAAGGTTTGTGCACTGCACAGCAAGATGAGAGTCAGTATCCCTTAAGGGCAATGGGCACAAGGCACGGACGCGTTTATCAGACTGCTTGAACATGGCACTGGTCGATGCCTTCACGAGCGTGATTCCCCATCTCTTTGAAGGCGCTTCTTCAGTGCTTGTTTCGCTGTTAATGACACCGCTGACGCGCTGAGCAACAAGCTCTTTTCGGCCGCTCGCCTGAAAACTTTGCCCTGTGCCCAACGCCAGGCGAGCTGGAAGTGCATTCCCCAGAAGCTGCTGGAGTCGAAGCTCTACTGGCTGTTCAACGCGGCCTCTGCCCTCTACATCTGCAGATTCCTGGCGGCCCCCTGGGCGACCTACAGGGCGTGCGTCGGCCTGTTCTTCAAGAGCCGATTGGTGCACGCCACCACCATAGACTTCGTCCTCTTGTACGCCTTCGTCCCTTTCTGGATGTCCAACGACGCCGCCGTGAGAGGCTGGAAGAGGTCACCTGCCCTCCTCACCTTTCTGAAGTTCCTGCCCGTGTTTGGGCCCATTGTATACTTGCTTTTGAGGCCAGGGCCGCAGTGATGCTGGTGGAGGATGGTGGCAATGGCGGTGAACGGAATTCCGGCACCGCTGCGGTTTTGTGAGTTGCCGCGTTTTGCCCGTGCTCCAACGTTGACGGGGAGGAAGAAGAATTTTTTTTACATATGGTGTTGTGGGAAAATGTTCATGTCATCGACCGTGTTATACCCGCAATACATGATCCATCCAATGGGCGTTGAGTTTACAGGGAGCTAGCGGTTGGTGGTGAGCCGAGGTTGCCGTGCCTTCATCTGTCCTATTTGTTGGTTGACGCACGATCGGGTGTTGCCATCGGTGAAGCAAACACTGCGACTGTGTCCTGGTGGTAGAATGTTTTTGGCGATTTCTATCTGTGGGGTTTCTGTTTCGAAATTTGATTGTGGAGATGAACAGCGTGAGGCGATGTGGTGTGTAAAGTACGGCAGTGAGCGTCCGGTGGGGGCGACAAGTTGTGGACGCTCAGGTTTGGGCCTCAGGTCTGGCGTTGGGACGCATGAAGTCACACGCACATACACGATAGGCCAGCGCACAAACACAATCATGCAGATGTGAACCCTGGCAAATTGCCCCATGATACAGGTAGGCACAACATAAGAGAAGACACTGTATCGACTTGGATACTTTTTGTGTCAGCTTGACGTACTGCTCAGAGACAATCAATATCCCCCACTCCTTTCTTGCTTGGCGTCAGTCGTTTTGTCGACGGTTATATGAGTCTGTCGATGGCAGCATTGCCTAATTGGGTAATGCAACATCGAGAAGGAAAACAGCCACCGCGACAACGATAATGTACGGCGGAATAATGGGGCATTTGAAGCAGTATCAGGGAATGGGAGCAGCTCATGCGGCTGGCGGTGATATGTCTTGGGGATCTGTCAAGAGCTAACCTTTCATGTGGCTTTGGAACGCTCTGTAACTATTCTCGGTTGCGACCTTGTTGGATGCGTAGATTGGGGGGGTTGGAAGAACGTGACTTATGCATGATCGGAATGGAAGCCTGATATCCAGACGCCAACCAACCAAAACAGACGTCAGATTGCCAGAACATATGAGCCAGGACAGATCGTGCGCTACAAATGGAGTGCGACAAATGCCACGCAGGAACCAACGACAACCAGCTGACCAGAACGCCGGCCAACAAGCCACAATCGACGCTGGCCAACCAGCTAAGATGGACGACAACAACCTGGAATGAAGCCAGCTCGCCAGCCAGCCAGAATGGATGAAGACAATGAAGACAATGGACGTGGCTCTACATGCACTGAGCAAGCTCTCACCCGTGTCAATCTTTATGTGTGCATAGATGAGCAGTGGTGAATCACCATGGAAATTGTCTCACGGTGAATCGCCACCCTGCACACTGAAGGACTGGAGGCTCTAAGGAGGGAGATGTGAGACAACGACAGGCGAAATGGCACCAAGTTGAACGTTCAGCATGCAGCGGGCCATACCAATAGGGATAGGAAATTTGGAAAGCGAGATACAAATCACAGTATGCACAGACATGGGCCAGTTTTGGCCGTTTCGAAGGGTAAGTGTCGCGGACAGCTTGTCATACGGTGGCACCCAAACTGAGTCTAAAAGGGGGGAGCTGCGCATTCTTTAGGCCGTGTGCGGCTGTGTTCGGCTCGGCTCTGCTGTCCCTCTCGTCTCTATCCCCGCCATCGCGACCAACAAGGGGTACACCCAAGTCGGGTTTCCTGGGCTGATTGCCAAGCCGGCATTCACCCAAAGTTCCCGCGTGGACGTCGAGGCAGCCACGACATTTTCACTGCGCGAGCTTGCATGGGGTAGGGGTTGATTTCGTGGGTTGTTGAGTTACGCTTTGATTGCATTTGCCCCATTGACAACATTCTACCCTTTTGCCCACAGTGAAATTTCAGCAAGTTGTGGGCAGGCGTGATCGCATTAGTCAAAAGTCAATCAAATTCGATCTTTTTAAGACTCCATCGCAACCGTTTTTGATGACACCCACCAATAAGGTCAAAATGCAATATACAGCAGCAACAAAGAAACGACAGGTTGCACGGCATCCACCCCCGTCACGATTCTGCAACAGCCATCGTCGTCTCTTGGGCAAACAAAAGGTTCTGTCGTCTTAGACCGACTGCCAAGGCACCTTGATAGTACAAAGTGGGTTCCCACGCAGGGCACCTGCCTAACACAAATGGGCACATTTGAGCCAGATAAACAACAACACAGCTAGCCATGCAAACTGCATCCCAGGATGCCGAATTTCTGGACTGCTCACATATGGATAGCAACCAGCCGAAGGTGGCACTGTTTGCGTAGTGACAGAACTGCCCGGAAGACAACCTGCTACTCAACACAAGGTGCTGTTGCTGCCGTCTTCACATTGTTCATCTTGCACACTCTTTCCACCACAGGCCCCACGCTACCCTGGCGATTCCCATTCTTACGGTACACACTAAGGCCTCAGTCTCACCTCGCCTCAGTCCTAGTCTGTTCCACACAATTAGACAGGTCGCCAACAAGCACTGTTTGGTTGGCCATGCACACCAGTACGGAAGTACCATGGCCTCTATTGTATTGAAAACAAGAAGGCCAATATCATCAGAACATGGGTGTTGATCAAATGGCCCTCAATGTCTGAGAGCTTTAACCACTGCCGATGCAATGGATGGCACTGGATGCTCATGAATTTTGGCAAATCTCAGTAATATGCAAACAGTTGGTCCTAGCACACTTCGTAGCCATCTGTCCAAACTCAGGGGATCACATGGCTGTCACCTGCTGCCATGGGACTCTACACAGGCCAAACCCCCTAGCCATGTACTAGGTTCATAAGGTGGCACTTTGCCTAGGGAGACAAACACAATCCAAGGCATTTGACTAAACTTGCCCCCCCCTGCCCATTTGCCAGTAGCTCATGAAGGAACCGGCCCGCAATGGCAAGTGGAGGTCGAATCCCAGAACATCTCTGATGCCTGCAGTCCGTCATTGCCAACAATGATCCAGGTGAGCTGTTGTCACCCACAATGATCCACGCACGAGATCCCCCACCCACTTTCTATTCCAATCCTCTTTGCATGGGGGATTTCTTCGATCGACAAATCAAAGAGCCTTCAAGGCTGCCCTCCAGCCTCTCTCCATCGGAACCCTGCAGCCAACAACACCAGCTAAGCACCACAGCACCCTGTTCCCATTGCGCACTGCCCCTTCCCTCCCATGTCCATCCATCCCCAAACTCGCAAACCACTAAACCCAGCAACAGGCCCATGGGGCTCCCCACCACGCACCAAACCCATAGAAAAGAATTGCTGTTCGGTGGTGCCAGAAGCTGGCTCCCAACCGATGACTAATCGGGCCAAAATGGGACCCACTTGCCCACCCGCCTCCCCACAACGCCGGCACAACGCTCCCCCCTCCCTTCCCCACCGCCTCATTCCCCAAACAGGCCCCAGTTGTTGATCTTCAGCGACGCCATCAGGGCCTTGAACATCGCCGGCGCCTCCATGGCCGCCTGGGCGGGCCCCAGGCTGGAGGCGGAGCTCAGCAGCCCCAGCGATCCAGACAACCCCGATGCGCTGGATGACGTCCTGAGCCCCAGCCCGGACGACACGCTCCCAGGTAGGCCAGATAGCATCCTCTCCACACCTCCGTCCAGCGGGGTG